TGTGGTCAATTAATATACAATAAAGGAGCCATGGATAATTCAATGGGTAAATGACAGCCTCTTCAAAAACTGTTATTGGAAAACTGGACAGCTACATGTAAGAGAATGAAATTGGATTATTGTCTAAGTTCATACACAAAAGTAAACTCGAAATGGATCAAAGGCCCAAATATAAGTCATGAGACCATAAAACTCTTAGAAGAAAACATAGGCAAAAATCTCTTGAATAAACATGAGCAACTTTTTTTCTAAACACATCTCCTCCAGCAAGAGAAACAAAAGCAAAAATGAACAAATGGGACTACATCAAACTAAAAAGCTTCTGTACAGCAAAGGACACCATCAGTAGAACAAAAAGGCATTCTACAGTATAGAAGAATATATTCATATGTGACATATCTGACAAGGGGTTAACATCCAAAATATATAAAGAGCTCACATGCCTCAACACCCAAAAAGCAAATCATTCAATTAAAAAATGGGCAGAGCATTTGAAGAGATACTTCTCCAAAGAAGAAATTCAGATGGCCAACGGGCACAAGAAATGATGCTCCATATCACTAATCATCAGGGAAATGCAAATTAAAACCACAATGAGATATCACCTCACACCAGTTAGGACAACCAGCACCCAAAAGACAAACAACAACAAATGTTGGCAAGGATGTGGAGAAAGGGGAACCCTCCTACACTGCTGGTGGGAATGTAAATTAGTTCAACCATTGTGGAAAGCAATATGGAGGTTCCTCAAAAACTAAAAATAGAAATACCATTTAACCCAGGAATTCCACTCCTAGGAATTTACCCAAAGAAAACAAGATCTCAAATGCAAAAAGACATATGCACCCTTATGTTTATCACAGCACTATTTACAATAGCCAAGATATGGAAGCAACCTAAGTGGCCATCAGTAGATGAATGGATAAAGAAGATGTGGTACATTTACACAATGGAATATTATGCAGCCATAAGAAGAAAAGAAATCCTACCATTTGCAACAACGTGAATGGAGCTAGAGGGTATTTTGCTCAGTGAACTAAGCTGGGTGAAGAAAGACAAGTACGAAACGATTTCACTCATTTCTGGAGTATAACAACAAAGCAAAACTGAAGGAACAAAACAGCAGCAGACTGACAGACTCCAAGAAGGGACTAGAGGTTACCAAAGGGGAGGTATAGGGGAGGGCAAGTGAGGAGGGAGGGAGAAGGGGATTGAGGGGCATTATGATTGGCACACATGGTGTGTGAGAGGATCACGGGGATGACAGTGTAGCACAGAGAAGACAAGTAGTGACTGTGGCATCTTACTACACTGATGGACAGTGACTGTAATGGGGTGTGGGGGATACTTGATAATATGGGTAAATGTAGTAACCACCATGTTGCTCATGTGAAATCCTCATAAGAGTGTATATCAATGATACCTTAATAAAAAAATAATAATAATGTGAAGCCTAAAATTATACAACTTCTAGGAAAAAATTACAGAAAAATCTACATGAATTTGGTTAGGCAAAGATTTCTTGGATATAACACCAAAAGCAAGATCTATAGAACAACAAATTGATAAGCTGGACTTCAAAACTGCAATCTTCTGCTCTTCAAAAAACAGTGTTAAGACAATGAAAACACAGGCCTTAGATGGAGAGAAAATATTTGCAAATCATACATCCAATAAAGGATTTCCAGACTATAGAAAGAACTCTTTTAATTAGTAATAAGGAAACAAATCAATATAAAAAGTAGGCAAAGTATTTGAATAGATGTTTAACCAAAGAACATATATAGATGACAAATAAGCACATAAAAACATTCTCAGTATCCTTAATCATTTGGAAAATGCAAATTAAAACAACAATGGGATATATTAAGCCTCTATTAAAATGGCTAAAATAAAAAAGACTGACCATACCCAGAGCGGGTGAGGATGTGGAGGAACTGAAATTCCTGTATGCTTCTAATGGCATGAAAAATGGTAAATAGTTTGGCAGTCTCTTTAAAACGTCACCATAAAGGTACCACATGAACCACTCCCAGGTATTTACCCAAGAGAGAGCAAAAAGTATGTCCATACAAAGATGTGTACAAAATGCACAGTGCAGATTTATTTGAATTAGCTCCAAACTGGAAACACCCCAAAGATCCAGCAATCGATAGATGGATTAACAAATTTTAGTATATCTACACAATGTAGTGCTACTCAGCAATAAAAAGAATAAACCATTGATACATACAACTACGTGGATGGATAAGAATAATTATTTGGAAAGAAGCCAAGACAAAAAAAAGGTGTGTACTGTATGATTTCACTTACATAAAATTCTAATAACTGCAAACTAATGTATAGCGTCAGAAACCAGATCTGCGGCTGCTGGGGAGAGCGGGAGAGGTGGGAGGGAGGAATTACAAAAAGGCACAGGGAAACCGGTAGAGATGATGGGTTATGTTCATTATCGTAATTGTAGGGATGGTTTCATGGGTGTACACATATGCCAAAACATCAAATTATCTACTTGAATATGTAAGTTGTTAAATAAAAGAGAAGCAGAGCAATAAAGTTAAACTCTCAGTCTAGGCAGGTCAGTCATACAGAGGTCAGGTCTTAGTTGGAAAGAATGGGGCCCTGAAAAAAGGGGTCAATAAATCTGGGTGATTCACCCCAAAATCTCGAGCCCAGAGTTCCCTAAACTCCACTCTGCAGACAGCATACAGGAGTGAGCCATTCCTCCCTATTAAGGGCCAGCACTCCCCTGTGCAGACCAGGAGCTCCTGTCAGGACCTGCATGCACGTGCCCTCCCAGCCTCTTGGCCAACAGGTACACTGAAGTCACATGGTCTGGCTGAGGACGTACTGGGCCTGATAATGGAGGAGAGGGACTGTCTCTCAAAGGAGTTTCAGGACATAATTAATGAGGCAGAAACACAGATGTGGGAACAGATATGTGGGTGCTAAATCAAGGAGGCAGGAACACAAAGTCAGATAGGGTTCTGATCTGTGGACACTCTCAGGGAGTTTAAAGGGTTCAAGAGCTCTGAGAGCTATTACAAGCATGCTGCCAGGATGGGGCCTAGAGGCATGCCCAAAGCGATAACCATGCTCTCTGAGGCAGAAATGACAGTTTCTGTGGCAAACAGTGGAAGAAGTACATGAAAGGCTCCTAGAAGTATTTGTGCTCGGGTGGATATACTGTGAGGCTGGAGATCTGGTAGATAATGTCCCAGGGAACTAAAGCAATAGCGGATGTTCTGGGGAAAGGGCACCAGCATCACTAAAAAGTTCACTGGTAGCTCTGCTCTGAGGCCAGGCTGACCACGGGACAGCCTGAAAGAAATGGCAATGATAGACTCCCAAAACAATGAAAGCCAGGCAGCAGTTTAATCTGAGAAGTGAACCAATGTTATAAAGACGGAAGCCTGGAGACATGGGCATAAAGGCACTGCTCTATCTGCACAATCAAAATACACCAACGATTGCTGACCAGCAGGCTGAGTACAATGGCCTCAAAACAAAACTCACAATTTCTTATCCAGTTTCCAGACATTAGCCAGTTTGGGGACCTGAAACTAGGGTTGCCTGATTTAGCAAATTAAAATACTGGGTATCCTGTATTTTGTCTGACAACCCATTGACTAAAAGAGAGGCCCAACCCCGTCTTGGCCATGATTCCTTCAATCCTTTCCCCAAGAACTGATGGCCATTTACTCGAGTGACAATACATTGGGAAAAAGCTGAACACCAAAACATGTTGGGGCCGGTGGGACACAGGGGTTGAGCTGACATTAACGTCTGGTAACATAGAGCATTGTCAAGGTATTCTTATTAGAGTGGGGACATATGGGGGCCAGGTAACAAATGGAGCCGTGCGCCTGTCCGGCTTGCAGTGAGCCCACAGTTGTTAATCCATTAACAAACTGAAAAAGAGTATCTGGGTTGTTTCCATTTTTTAGCTACTGTGAAAGCAGTTGATATAAAAATTTGTATACAAGTCTTTGTGTGGACAAAGACTTTGTTTTTTTGGTAATATGTGGGAGTAAAATGGGTGGGTCACAAGACAAAAATAAAATTTTCATTTAAGTTTTTACTCCTGTTTGTCTATTTTTTTTTTTTTGTCTGGTGTGTTAATGGAAGAGTGTGAGACTAAGTATCAGTAACTGGTTTAGGAAAGGGGCTTCACTTTTACAAATCAGCTGCCTCTCCACCAACAGGCAATCAGCTCTTCCACACAGAAACCCTGCCATCTAGCATACGCAGTCTCTTGACTTAAAAATGTTAATTATGACACTTTTACAAGAAGCAATCAATTAGGCTGAGCAGTGCAAACCCATCATTTGGGGAGGTCAAAACGGTGTTGGTATCAGAATGGTTCTAATATAAGTAACTGTTGGTCCCATCACTTTGCACATTCTCTTGGTGTATTTTTGAACAAACACTTTACAACATTTACCCTGTCTGTAAAACAATACCACTCTTCCCTTGGTGTTGGAGAGGAGGAAGCTTAGGCCCCCAGGGGTGAAGTCCACTCTCAGTCCCTCACAGCTAGTGGGCGTAGGAGGCAGGCAGGCCCCAGAGTCGGTTCCCTCAACCACCTGACTGCACCGCTTTCCCGATGAGCCTGAAGGCTGCAGCCCCAAGTCAGCGACTACCCGAGGACCACGCGACCAGGAGACGCGCGGGCCTGAACCGGGGTGTCCGGCGCCACCCCCCTGGGCCCTCCACTACCCCTTTCATCAAGCCCAACGCCTTTCTCACCCACCCCAAGTCCACCGTATTTGACGGATGAGGGGCCTGAGCCTCCAAGAGGCAAGGCTGCGGGTCCCGCCAACGGATGGCCTGGCACAGCCGGTGTGCGGAGGACGAAGGGCCGGGCTGAGCCAGGCGTGGAGGACGCGACGGGGCGCGGTGGACTGGGCTGGCACGGCTGGGCCCTGGGACCCGGGGCAACGGCCGGCCACGGCCGGAAGGGGCGCCATCGAAGGAGGAAGGTGGGAAGGGGCGCTTACTACGGCCCATGTCGCCTCTCGGTTTCGCGGTCCCGTGAAGTCGACCCCGACTCTCGGGAACTCCCGTCAAGCTTCCTCGTCAAGCCTCTGCACCTGCACTCATAGTCTCGGGAGCCATGGCAACGGGGACGCTACGGCGGCCGCGCCGGGCCAGACGGCGCCGCGTTTCCTGACCGCAGGAGGGGCAGAGAGAGGAGACTCCGAGGGCAGGGGCTCCCGGAGAAGACTGAGGCTCTCCCCGACGCCGGCCTAGCCTTGTTCCACGTCTCCGCCTCGGGCTGCCGCAGACGGCTTCTCTTTGTCCAAGTCATCTGGCCAGACTAAACAAGGAACCACAGGCGCTCCTGTTTCCTGCTGCGCTCTGCCTCCTCGGCATGCCCCTTAGCCCGCCTTCTACTTTTGTTCTCTTCGTGTTTAATTTAATGCCCTCCAGAGCCAGATCTGTATTTGGCCCCCACTCCGTTTACTAGCTGCAGGATAAACGTCCCTTATTCTCAGTTCCCACATATGTAAAACGAATAATAATAGCCTCAAAGGATCATTGTGAAGCTGTTTAACAAAATAATTTTGAACGAATGAAAGATACTTCATAAAAACAGCAGGCTCAGTATAAAGGTTAGTTATCACTGTTAGATTTCCTCTGTTTAAGATCAAAGCCCAATATCAGTGAATTTCCTACTAACAAGTTTTCTAGAAACATGTACCCACCACTTTCTTAATTGTAAAAGGTAGGAGTGTTATTTCCTACAGCTCCCCCCCACCCCGACCCCGCTCTCCCATTTCCCCAGACCTCTCTCCAAAGTGTCAGTGTGCCTCATACAGTTCTGACCTAGAACCAGAATTCAGCCATACAATTCATCCTCATCATGACAATTCATCTTCATTCACCCTCAGATGTTCATATGTAGCCGTTTTAATCGTTTCAGTGTAGCACACCTCCCCAGAGTTGTTTTATTTGTTTCCACCTTCACTCATTTTGGATCCCCTTCCACGACTCTCACAATCAGAATCAATTTGTTCTGTGTATATGGTTTCTTTGCAGAAGGTGGGGGCAATGGGGAGTTTGATTTTTAGATGCCACATGTGAGATCATACAATATTTGTCCTTCTCTGACCTATTTCACTTAGCATACTGCCCTTAAGGTCCATCCATATTGCCATAAAATGCAGGATTTCCTTATTTTTTTATGTCTGGATAATATTCCACTGTGTGTGTATATATTGGTATCCATATATCACATTTTCTTTCTCTGTTCATTTGTCAGTGGACATGTAGACTGCTTCCATGTCTTGTCTATTACAAATATTGTTCAGTGAACATAAGGGTACAGGTATCTTTTCTAATGAGTATTTTCATTTTCTTCAGATAAATGCTCAGAGGTGGAATTGCTAGATCATCTGGTAGTTGTAGTTTTAGTTTTATGAGGAACCTCCATACTATTTTCTCTAGTGGTTGTACCAGTTTACATTCCCACCAACAGTGCACAATGGTTCCCTTTTCTCCACATCTTCATCAACACTTGTGATTTCTATGCCAGTCATTCTAACATGTATGAGGTGATATGTCATTGTGATTTCGATTTTCATTTTCTTGATGATTAGTGATGTTGAGCACTTTTTCATGTCCTGTTGGCCATTTCTGTGGCTTCCTTTGGAAAAACATCCCTTCACATCCTCTGTCCATTTTCAAATAATTTTTTTCTATTGAATTGTAGGACTTCTTTATATATTTTGGATATTAATCCCTTAGCAGATATATAATTTGTAAATATCTTCTCCCATTCTGTAGTTGCCTTTTCATTTTGTTGATTGTTTCCTTTGATGTGCAGAAGCTTTTTAGTTTGATGTAGTCACACTTGTTTATTTCTGCTTCTGTTACTTTCAGTTTTGGTGTCAAATCCAAAGAAATCATTGCCAAGACTGATGCCAAGAAGCTTACCTACTATGTTTTCTTCAAGGAGTTTTATAGTTTTATTTTTAATATATTACTATTACAAAAGTAATTATTGCCCTCTATGCAAAAAAAAGTGCAATATGTAAAAGATTTTTAAAATTTCCTCCCTCACAATCATAGTAAACAATACAGAGTGCATACTTTTTTTCTGACATGTGTATGTTTACATTATACATTATAAAAGAAGATTCACAGAACAATGTTGAGTGTAAATAAATGTATTTTTTTTCAGCAGACACCTGTTAAGCATTCACTGATGGCAGTTATTAGGGTTTGCCAAGTGGAGACAAGAGCACAAACTCTTGTTCTGAGGCAGAGAGGTAGGAAAGCCTAACAGAGTAGATTGAAAGAACAGCTGGGGAAGCTAGTCAGTTTGGCAATAGAGAGAACTGCATGGTGGTGATTTTTGAACAGCAATCCTGAGAAATTAGATCAGGGGTAACAGGGGCCTTAAATGTCAGGCCAAAGGAATTAAACCAGAATGGTGGGATTTCAGGTACTACATCCATACAGTGGGAGGAATATTTGGAGTTCCAAGACACCTCCCCAAATCACTCCAACTATGAACTTAGGTGACATCCACTGCTCCTACCCAAAAGTCTGGTTCCCATCATTTTACTATTTTTTGGAAGCAAGACAGGGTAGGGTGAAGAGTATGAGCTTTTCAGCATAGGCATTGGAGACCTGGTTCAAATTCACAAATTTATTACTATGTGGCATCGCACAGATGACTTCACCTCCCAGAGCTAAAACTTCCCCATTTCCACATAAAGATAACAATTTAGGCAACCATCTGTGGCTGTCCCTCTGAGAGGTCTGTGTGCTAGTTAGTATCTGATCACTCCTGTAGGAGATGACATGCGGTCAGCAACAGGCTAGTTGAGCAAACACGACTATGTCGAAACTGGTGCATTATGACATTAAAGGGTTCACTAAGGCTGAAATAGGTCTAGCTTCTGGCAGGAAGCTGGTGCCAGGGGACAATCTAGTAGAAAGGTAGTTTCTGAGCTGACAGAGGCATGAAGTCAGGGGCAATATAAAGGACCTCAGACTTCTGTGTCAGAAGAGACAAGAGGGAGGCAGTCCAGGACTCTACATAAGTTCTCAAGAGCAACTGCAAACCAGGTATCTGTTATGTCGGCTCTGAGCTTCTCTCTGTACATTCAGACAAACTCATTCATTAACATTCAGCCTCACTCTTAAACTCTCTAGTGGTCAAAGAGGCCTTGAGTTTTTTCTATGAAACTTAGTATCTGAGGAATTGGAGTATTTTATTCATTCATACCCAAGTGAACAAACTATGGAGCTGTCATCTACTCTAAAATCATATCTGTGTGCTCAGTACTGCCCGAGAGCTTTAAAAGTGTTAATTCTCACATCAACCCTTAGAGGTAGGCAATGTTATCATATACATACTACAGATAAGGAAACTAAGGCCCAGTGAAATTATATTACTGGGATTTTGTGCCCAAACCTGCACTTTACTGCATCATTTTTGAGACTAAGAAGCTACTTGAGGTCACGGCGGGGGTTTGCTTTTCATCTCTGAATCAGCTCTCAGAACAATTCCTGACACTTCTAGGTGCCCAATAAGTATTTGTTGAATGATTGAATGATGAGTCAGTGAGCTAACCTCTCCAAAAGCTTGACTGTCCTGGATATAAGGACCACATCTCATGACTTAAGTAAGATCACCACAAAGGTTTCCATGGTTATCTAGCAAGCCACTCAGGAAGGGTGCTGCATCCATATGGTCATTGGAAATTTCCTACTTTGGGACCTTTTCAGCAAAATCTAGGATAAGAGCTCTGTCTGGGAGCAAAAAATTGATAGATTGTTTCACCACTCTAGTGGAAAAGAGAAGAGCCTTGGGTAGTAAAGCCGGGAAACCACAACCATCTACCTCATGATTTGTCAGGAGCCAGGCTGGGCTGGTTATATTGTGTCCATCTTCAACCCAACATCACAGTCACTGTGTTTCTTAGAAACAAAGGGCTATGGGGCATGAAGGGCAGGTGTACAGTGTTCTGAGATTGTCGTAGTCCACTGGCAGGGAGGGAAACTGGGAAATAAATCACAATGTGACAGCTCCAAATAAAGTCAAGTTCATTTTACTCAAACTGAATGTGATAGTTTAAAGAATCATGGTGTGTGTCTATTTATGCAAATCATTATTCAAAACACTTGTTTCCTTGGCTCCTGCAAATATAACAAGATGAGTGTTGCTTCCTGAAGAAACTGCTACCGTATTTTTTGTCTATATAAGTAGGAGAAGTAAATATGGAAGATGGCTGCTTTTTTAATCCTAGTAACAGTAAAATAGTTCTTCTACTCTTTATGGGCTGGATAAATTCAAAGAACATTGACCTAGAAAGCTAAGTGGTTTTTATTATTTTCATTATTATATATAATTGAGTGTTTTTATGATGTGTAACTAATACTGTGGTTACAAATCCTTGTACTTCTCATTAATTCTCCTTCAGAAGAGTTTCCTCATTGCAACTTTATGACAAGTGAACAAACTCCTGTTCAGCATCTCTATAATAACAACCTCTCCCTCCCTCCCTCTCTCCCTCCCTCCCTCTCTTCCTTCCTTCCTTCCTTCCTTCTGCAGATACTTATTAAGTGCCATCCACATACCAAGCACTTTGAGGAGTTGAGACAATACATGCAAAACTTTCAGAAGAGCACTTCCTGTGTAGGAAGCACTCAGTAAGGGTTATCTACTCATATTTTGAAAATTAAATTATCTCCTCCATAGACGGTGACCTTGCATAGTAGGCACTATTGTCATTCATTTTACAGATAAAGAAATGGTCTACTATGTATCAAGCCAATGAAAGAGTCCTGAGAAAAAAAACTTTAAGTGTTTTGTTTGTCCCAGGGTAGATTTAGAGATGGGCAGCATTATCAAAATTGGTCTACTGTATCCATCTGAGGGATGACTTCTCCTGGCTGGTAGACTGTAGACAGGAAATGAGAAGAGGGGTGGAAACAGATCAATAGGTCATTTTCTAGTGCTTCCTTGACCCATATCCATGGAAATGAATCTACGTTATTGTATATGTGTTCCGCAAACATCAGACACTCCAAGAAGCAAATGGAAGTATAAAAGCATGTCTCCAAATCAAGTGTAAAATGGTTGCTAAGTAATTTTCTTTACCTACCCCCCTCTCTTAAAAGATAAACTGAGACA